TGCTGGAGCTGCTGGAGGTGCTGCTGGAGCTGCTGGTACTGGTGCTGCTGGTGCTGGTACTGCTGGAGCTACTGGAGGTGCTGCCGGTGTTGGAGCTGCTGGAGGTGCTGCTGGTGCTGGAGCTGCTGGAGCCGCTGGTCCTGGAGGTGCTCGTACTGGAGGTACTGGAGCTGCTGGGACTGGGGCTGCTGAGGGGGTTGGAGCTGGAGTTGCTGAGCGGCCGCGGCCGTACTACGTTCCGCTCCTTCAGCAGGTTCTTGGTCTCCCGCCCTCTACTGGTCCTACTCCTCCCCTACTGAGTCCACCGCCTGTCCAGTCACAGTCACAGTTACAGCCTGCCTCTCCGCTGCCTGGTCCTTCTCCTTACACTGCGCCGACGGGTAGTCTTACTGAGCGTCGTGAGCCTGAGTCTCGTCCTCCGTCGCCTGAGTCTAGTCCAGAGTCGCCTGTGTCGTGTCCAGAGTCGCCTGTCCGGGCTGTCCGCGCTGGTCGTCGTGCTCCGCGTGAGCGTCCTCTTCCTGTCCTTGGCACTCACTATATGACCCTGCGTCCTTCCACTGCTCCACAGCGCGTCCCTCTGCCGTCTCCTCCTGCGTCCTCTCTTCCTGACGTTGCTGACACGCAGTCAGACCTTACTCGTGCTGCCAGTCCTACTGTCGCGCGTCTCCTTGCCACTGTTGTCACGGACCCTACCTTTGAGTCCTCTGCTGCGTCTGCTCTAGTCGCTGAGCTTGTTGACTTTGCTGCCGCCTGTCGTCTAGACTACGCTGCTAGCCTTGTTGCTGAGTCTGAGTCTGTCTGTCCTCCGTCCGTCGGGGTTGAGTGTGCTCTTGGCACGGACGTCCTTGAGGACAGACAGGAGGAGTTTGAGTGCTTTGCTGCTGCTTTACCTCATCTCGTGTCCATGCTGATTGCCCCTGAGGGAGACCCGGATGCACCAGACATCCCGACCCCACGCTCCTACGCAGAGGCGATGGAGGGTCTCTACTCCTCTCAGTGGCAGACAGCCATGGACGCAGAGATGGCTTCCTGGAAGTCCACAGGCACCTACGTCGACGAGGTTCCCCCACCTGGGGCGAACATCGTCAGTGGCATGTGGATTTTCAGGGTGAAGCGGCCGCCGGGTTCTCCGCCTGTCTTCAAGGCGCGTTACGTTGCACGAGGCTTCAGTCAGCGAGAGGGAGTTGACTTCTTCCAGACCTTCTCCCCGACCCCGAAGATGACCACTCTTTGGGTTCTGCTGCACGTCGCTGCTCAGCGTGTCTACGAGCTCCACTGCCTTGACTTCAGCACTGCGTTCCTACAGGGCACCCTGCACGAGGAGATCTGGCTGCGCCGCCCACCTGGCTTCAGTGGGTCGTTCCCTCCTGGTACCCAGTGGAGCCTCCGGCGGCCAGTCTACGGTCTCCGCCAGGCACCTCGTGAGTGGCACGACACACTGAGGACTACTCTTGCTGCTCTTGGGTTTGCTCCTTCTACTGCTGACCCGTCGCTGTTTCTACGCACCGACACCACTCTGCCGCCGTTCTACGTTCTCGTGTACGTAGACGACTTGGTCTTTGCTACTGCTGACACTGAGGCACTCGCCCACGTGAAGTCGGAGCTTCAGAAGAGACACACGTGCACAGACCTGGGTGAGCTGACAAGCTATCTTGGCTTGCGGATCACCCGGGACAGAGCACAGCGCACCATCACCTTGACTCAGTCACACATGGTGCAGCAGGTCCTTCAGCGCTTCCGCTTCACGTACTCCTCGCCTCAGCCCACTCCTCTGCCTACCGGTCACTCGCTCTCAGCTCTGCCTTCGGATGAGTCCGTAGAGCCGAGTGGCCCGTATCCAGAGCTTGTGGGCTGCCTCATGTACCTGATGACCTGCACTCGACCTGACCTAGCCTACCCTCTTAGCATCCTAGCACGCTATGTCGCTCCTGGCCGTCACCGGAAGGAGCACATGGATGCAGCTAAGAGGGTGTTGCGCTACTTGTGCAGTACGTCGGGCATGGGGCTTGTGCTTGGAGGACGGCGCGACGTTGTCCTCACTGGACACTCAGACGCTTCTTGGGCTGACGACCAGGCTACTCAGCGGTCGTCTCAGGGTTACACCTTCAGCCTTGGCTCTGGCTCAGTTTCTTGGCGTTCTACACGCTCTTCCTCTGTTCTCAGCTCCAGTTGTGAGGCTGAGATCTACGCCACAGCCATGGCTGCCCATGAGCTTCGCTGGCTCACCTACCTGCTGACCGACCTGGGAGAGCGGCCTCGTTCTCCTCCAGTGCTGTACGTCGACAACAAGGCCGCCCTTGCCTTGTGTCAGGAGCACAGACTGGAGCACAGAACGAAGCACATAGCTCTGCGCTACTTCCTTGCTCGAGAGCTGCAGCAGCGTGGTCAGCTTCGTCTTTCGTACGTGGCCACTCGGGCCAACACTGCTGATGTGTTCACCAAGGCGCTTCAGCCTTGTGATCATCAGCGTTTCTGTACTGTTCTAGGCCTTGTGCCTACTCTCCCTCACTTGCTCACTTCTTGACTCTGCTTGTACTGTGATCTCTATATATATACCTGCATGCTTGCACTTGCTAGGTTGTGATCACTGTACCTCTTGTTCTATTATCAAACTGCATGTGTACTGGTCTTGTGACCACTTGCTTGTGCTCGGAATTTGGGTGGTATCCTTGAGATCCACCCTGAGCTTGTTTTGCTTTGCTTTGACTGGTCCTGTGACCCCTTGTTCTCCCCCACTTGGCCTATGGGGGTGTGTCAAACATTGTATGTGTTATATTTGTGTAGGCTATTGTGGGTTAGCCTCTAGGGGGTACAGAAGTTTAGGTTTGTCATACTTGTACTCTCATTCTGCTGCTAGTCCATCATCCTCGTTCTCTCTCAGTTTCTAACAAGAGTGTGCGTGAGAGTGCGCGTGAGGGAGCGCGTGAGAGAGCGTGTAGGTTTGTATGTTTGTTTCTGCGGGTGAGTTGTGTTTCCTGCTTAACCTCCTCGCAGGGCACGTGCGTTACATTATATGTTTAATTGCTTTTTTGTATATTGTGTGAACATTCTCTGTTATTGCGTTTTTTCTTGTGCAGGGCGCGTGTTTTACATTCTCTGCTTTTGCTCTGTGCAGGGCGTGTGAGCTGCGTTCTTTTATATTGTTTAGCGGAGAAGGGAGACGAGGGAGGGGGTGGGAGGGAGATGAGGGAGGGAGGGAAGGAGGGGTGTAGGGAGGGTAGAGGGGGAATAGGGTAGCGATTATCTATGAATGGTAACTGAATTCCATTTGTGACGGTTGTGTGTTTATTGTCTGCATGTATCTGTGCTTGTTTGCGTGTGTGCCAGTGTGTGCGTGTGTGTCAGTGTGGATGTGTGTTTGTGTGCCTGTGTGTGAGACATGTACAGTCGTTTGTTTGTATCATTTGTGTTTGTCTCGAGGTGTGGTGCTAAAGTGCCTCCTGAATGCAACTTAGGTTGTGATCGCCGGTGGGGCAGCATTGCTTGCCTTAGCGTGCCAGACCAACCTCAGTTGCATCATAGATGCATTTTAGCATTCACCTTGGAACATTCATACTTGTTGAGCATTGTTGTTTTGAGTTTGTATGTGATCATTTATGGTTTATCTTAAACCGGACGAGAAGTGATTGTCCCATTCTTCCATTCGCCATATTTATCGACGATTTTGGAAGGATAAGGCTCTACAATTGGTTTGTCATTCGGGCATTCTTGTGGACAGTGACTCCCTTTTCAGTTTTTTGGTGGCACTCATAAATTTATACTGAGTGTTCCAATGCAGAGAAAGGGACAAAATATGCACAGTTCATTTGAGTTCCCCGTACTGTTCAAAAACCAATTGTAAAGGGTTGCTAACACGATGCTCGTTTGACTAACCCAAGGTCGCCTTGTGAAGGGGGCTTTTAAGTGATTCTCGACATTTCGCAAATTTCGTCAACGTCGCACCTAGCAAAAAAGGGCTTATAAAAAAATTGTAACTCCCTGTTGACAGTTTGACTTCGGTCTCCTCTGTTTGACTTCGTTTTCTGTGGTTCGTATTGGTTCATTGCCACTGCAACTTGCTCGAGGGGCTTGTAATGTGGGTGCAACTGGCTGGTAAAAAAAACACGGGTGCAGACTTTCCATCCGGGGCAGGGCAAATTCGCGACCAGGGGTTGAGCATCTTGTGCGCAACCCAAACAAAATTCGACGTTAACGTTGGAAGGGTTGCGTAAGAGCTATTATTTATAGCATATATATATAATAATAAATAATGCAGGGTTCTTCATATTTATAGCGGGCTTAATAACTCCTCATTTTGGAAAATAAAACGACTAACATGCTTCTATTTTACCATTGAGTGCTATTTAAATGAGAACGTTTTGGTGATGGATGCTCTATTTGTTATTATAATAAGTAGTGGTTTTATGCCTACAACTAATTATATTGTGGATTTGTTTATATGCAGCTACACCTAATGTGTCAGGTCGTATCCCTGGCTAGTGTCAAGAGCGGTTAGTGTCATGACACTATCTCGGAAAACGCATGGAGGACTAGTCCTCCTGGTGTCAGCTAAACCGACCAATCTGATCGCGGGAAATTGCCCAATGTGCCCAACATTGACACCAGGCTGGAGCCGCGTGCGGGCGCGGCTCCACCTGGTGTCAAGCCAATTTCCCGCTTGACACCAACAGTATCTTACACTAGCCAGGGATACGACCTCAGATAGGTGGAGTGTGTTGTCACGTGACGACACTAGTTCCAAATCTTGTGTGCTTTCTTTTTTTTCCTGGTTTGTCATGTGCCCAGGTTCTGTTTTAGCTTGCAATTCGCCCCATCGTCCTAGCACTGTACTCATGCCTTCTTTTGTTTTTGCCCTTGCAAAAAAACAATTTGCCAGCGCCACACATTCCCGACAGCCCCCCCCAAGGCGTTCTTCCTTACTCCGCTGTCAATTCGAATTCTCCGCTGACTTGGTTTCTTGAAATCGAGCACCTGCTCTCTCTGCCCGTCGCTTTGCTGCTATGTGCATTCCGTTTCCCGTCCCAGCTGTCAACTCGAACTCTTGTATCTGCTCTTGGTTCCTCGAATTCCCTCTGTACCAGCTCTCTCTGCCATTCTCTCCCAACCACCTATCGCGTTTTCTCCCAACACCCAGCCATCGCCTCTACCTTTTACCCCCAGTCGCCCCTCCCTCCTACCCCCCCGTCGCCATTCCCCCCCATCCCGCCGTCATTCCCCCCCATCCCGCCGTCACCTCTCCCTCCCATCCCGCCACCTCTCACCCCGCCGTCGCCTCTCACTCCCACCCCCCTGTCGCCTCTCCCTCACACCCCGCCATCGCCCACTCCCTCCCACCCCACCGTCGCGACTCCCTCCCATCCTGCCGCCGCCTCTTCTCCCATACCGCCGTCGCCTCTCCCTCCATCCCGCCATCGCCCCGCCTCCATCCCGCCGTCGCCTCCCCTCCATCCCGCCGTCGCCTCTCCCTCCTCCCCCGCCGTCGCCTCTCCCTCCTCCCCCGCCGTCGCCTCTCCCTCCCCCCCGCCGTCGCCTCTCCCTCCTCCCCGCCGTCGCCTCTCCCTCCTCCCCGCCGTCGCCTCTCCCTCCTCCCCGCCGTCGCCTCCGGCGACAGGTGCACGAGCGCAACCGCGATTTGGTGCGCGAGCGCGGATTGGTGCGCCAGCGCGGGTTGTTTTCCGAGGCACCGTGGTTATCAGGTGCGTTCCCAGTCCTTTCATCCTCCTTCCACCCTCTGAAATTTCCTCTCTTTTTTTTTTTGCTCTCTTCGTAAGTTTTGTGTGTCAATTGGTCTCCTCTTGCATTGCACTTTCATTTGACGAAGGGGAGAGACGGAGCGCGAGGGAGAGCGTGTGCACGGGAGCGAACGCGCAGGAGAGAGCGCAGGAGAGAGCGCGCGAGAGAACGTGTGAGAGGGCGCGTGAGAGAGCGGAGGAGAGAGCGCGTGAGGGAGCGCGCGAGAGAACGCGTGAGAGAGCGCGTGAGAGAGCGCGTGAGGGTGCGCGTGAGGGTGCGCATGAGAGAGCGCGTGAGAGAGCGCGTGAGGTTGCGTATGAGAGAGCGCGTGAGAGAGAGCGTGAGAGAGCGTGAGAGTGTGCGTGAGAGTGAGCGTGAGAGAGCGCGTGAGAGAGAGAATGCGCGTGAGAGTGCGCGAGAGAGAGCGCGTGAGAGTGTGCCTGAGAGTGCGCGTGAGGGGGCGCGTAAGAGTGCGCGTGAGGGAGCGCGGTACAGTGCGCGTGAGAGTGCACATGAGAGAGCGCGTGAGAGAGCGCGTGAGAGAGCGCGTGAGAGAGCGCGTGAGAGAGCGCGTGAGGGAGCGCATGAGAAAGCGCGTGAGAGAGCGCGTGAGAGAGCGCGTGAGAGAGCGCGCAAGGGAGCGCGTGAGGGTGCGTATGAGAGTGCGCGAGAGAGAGCGCGAAAGAGAGAGCGTGAGAGAGCGCGTGAGAGAGCGCGTGTGAGAGGGCGTGATAGAGCGCGTGTGAGAGGGCGCGTGTGAGAGGGCGTGAGAGAGCGTGTGAGAGAGCGCGTGAGAGAGCGCGTGAGGGTGCGTATGAGAGAGAGCGTGAGAGAGCGCGTGAGAGAGCGTGAGAGTGCGCGTGAGAGTGCGCGGGAGAGAGCGTGCGAGAGAGCGTGTGAGAGAGTGCGCGAGAGAGAGCGTGAGAGAGCGCGTGAGAGAGCGCGTGAGAGTGCGCGTGAGAGTGCGCGTTAGTGCGCGTGAGTGCGCGTGAGTGCGCGTGAGTGCGCGTGAGTGCGCGTTAGATTTCGCGTGAGAGTGCGCGTGAGTGCGCGTGAGTGCGCGTTAGAGTGCGCGTGAGAGTGCGCGCGAGAGTGCGCGCGAGAGAGCGCGTGAGAGAGCGCATGAGATACCGCGTGAGAGAGAGAATGTGCGCGAGAGTGCGCGAGAGAGAGCGCGAGAGAGTGCGCGTGAGAGAGCGCGTGAGAGAGCGTGTGAGAGAGCGTGTGAGAGTGCGCGTGAGAGTGCCCGTGAGAGTGTGAGTGAGTGCGCGTGAGAGAGCGCGTGAGAGAGCGCGTGAGAGAGCGCGTGAGAGAGCGCGTGAGAGAGCGCGTGAGAGAGCGCGTGAGAGAGAGCGTGAGAGAGCGCGTGAGAGAGCGCGTGAGAGAGAGCGTGAGAGAGCGCGTGAGAGAGCGCGTGAGAGAGCGCGTGAGAGAGCGCGTGAGAGAGCGCATGAGCATGCTGGGGCGTAGGCACTAGCATCTATTCTGCTGGTGCTTGGGCAACCGGGGCTACTTATACAAATGAGTGTCGCTTTCTGCACTAGCGCTTAGAGTGCCGGCTTCTAAGCTGTTGGCGCCTCGGACGTTCGTCTAGGCCGCTAGCGAGCTAGTTGCCAGCGGCTCTAACGCTTGGGCGCTGGCATGGCACCTAGTGTGCCGCGCCTGAAGCGCTAGCGTCATGGCCTTTGGCCTTTTTGCTTTCTTGCACACAATGTGTGAACATACACTGATTTTTGTGCAAGGTGTGCTGTTGCTTTCTCTGTTCTTGCTTTCTTGTGCAGGGCATGGGGGTGTTGACTTCTCTGTTTTTGCTTTGTGCAGGGCATGGGGGTGTTGACTTCCCTGTTTTAGCTTTGTGCAGGGCATGGGGATGTTGACTTCCCTGTTTTTGCTTTGTGCAGGGCATGGGGGTGTTGACTTCTCTGTTTTTGCTTTGTGCAGGGCATGGGGGTGTTGACTTCTCTGTTTTTGCTTTGTGCAGAGCATGGGGGTGTTGACTTCTCTGTTTTTGCTTTGTGCAGGGCATGGGGGTGTTGACTTCCCTGTTTTTGCTTTGTGCAGGACATGGGGGTGTTGACTTCCCTGTTTTTGCTTTGTGCAGGGCATGGGGGTGTTGACTTCTCTGTTTTTGCTTTGTGCAGGGCATGGGGGTGTTGACTTCTCTGTTTTTGCTTTGTGCAGGGCATGGGGGTGTTGACTTCCCTGTTTTAGCTTTGTGCAGGGCATGGGGATGTTGACTTCCCTGTTTTTGCTTTGTGCAGGGCATGGGGGTGTTGTCTTCTCTGTTTTTTTCTTTGTGCAGGGCATGGGGGTGTTGACTTCTCTGTTTTTGCTTTGTGCAGGGCGCGTGAGCTGAAAAGGGAGATGAGGGAGAGAGTGGGATGGAGAGGAGGGAAGGAGGGAGGGAGGGTTGTAGAGAGGGTAAGGTGGGATAGGCTAGCAATTGTTTATGCATTTCTGAATTTTATTCATGACGGTTGCGTGTTTATTACGGTCCCTGTATCTATCTGTGGTTGTTTGCGTGCGTGTCAGTGTGTGCGTGTGCTGATGCGTGTGTGTATGTGCGCGTGTGAGCCTGTGTGTGCGATATGTGTGTTTGTCTATTTGCACCTGTCTGTCTCGTGTATGCAACTGATGTGTGATGTTAAAGTGTGTCGGGTCTGCATTTGAGGTGGGGATCGTTGTTGGGGCAGCGTTGCTCGCCTTAGCATACCGGAACCATCTCTGTTGTAGCTTCGATGCATTTAAGCATTCACTCGCAGTTGTTGTGTGTTGTTTTTGTTTGTGTTCAATGGATGCACATGATTTGCATTCATGATCAGTGGCTGTTTTTCTCGTCAATTGTGTTCGGTGACGACCAATTGTTCCATTCGCCGTATTTATCGACGATTACGGAATGATAGGTCACATTTGGTTTCACTTTTTTGGAGACTTATGTGTATCAGTGTTGTCATCTCCACACATTCGGAACACTCGTTATCAAAACGTTAAAACGAGTGGTTCGGAACGTTGGGAAAATGACAAAAACTGCACTGTTCATTTGAGTCGACCGAAAAGTGCTACCAAATGTATAGGGTTGCTGCGCAACCCAAAAAACCCTAACAATTTTCGGCCATTTTCATGTGCATGCAACTTAGTCGGGAAAAGCTGCTCAGGTGCATGCTATCCCGTCGTGTTTCTCCCTCTGTTGTTACTGTTTATACACCTCCGCCACGACGATCACTGTTCTGTCAGGGGGTGCTACCCATGCGACTGACACCAACTGGCGCAGCTCTCGCACGAACTCGTCGTCCAACCACACCAGTCGCAGCCTTACTGCGAACAAGGTCAATACATATCGCAACACGCCTGACTAAAAACGGGCAAAGAAAATAAAACCCAATTGGAAACGCATGCGACTCGGGAGGAATCAACCCTAAACAGTAGGGCGGTTCCCTTGTTTAGGGTTGATATCTTCCGAAAAAATGAGTCCAGGTTCCCTAGTTTCTATTGTTTATTTTTTCCACTGCCTTACGAGACATCAACCCTAAACACCAGGACGGTTCCCGTGTTTAGGGTTGACCCCTCTCGAACAATGTCCAGGTTCCCAAGGAGTTGTATTTTTCCTTTTCGGGCTTCCCTCTCAAAGTTAGCGAACAACGGAATGATTGGAATAGAAACGAATGGGGTACAAATGAGCAACCCTAGAAGCTGTACCCCCTAGAGTGCAACTCATTATAGCCTATCATATCAATGTTCAACATTTGACACACCCCCATAGGCTAAGTGAGGGGCATCAAAGCAAGCAAGGTGAACAAACGGTCACAAGACCAGTCAAACCAAGAACCAAGGCAAGCTCAGGGTGGATCTCAAGGACACCACACAAATTCCGAGCGCAAGCAAGCGGCCACAAGGCCAGTTCAAGAGTTCACTAGGATATAAATACAAAGCACAACAAGCAGAGCAAGCAACAGGACTACACCAACCGAGGGCCTACCTCAACAAGCCCCAACTGCACACAGAACCTGTGGTGGTCACCAAGCGCCAAGGCCTTGGTGAAGACGTCTGCAGTGTTGGCCTCTGAGGCCACAAAGTCCAGGCGTGCCTGACCGCGTCGCTGCAGCTCTCGCAGGAGGAAGTACCTCACGTCAATATGCTTCACTCTGCTCTCCAGTCGAGGCTCTCGACACAGGAGGATCATGGCCTTGTTGTCAGCGTACAAGGTCGGTGCAGAGCGAGGCCGCTCACCAAGGTCAGCGAGCAAGAAGGTCAACCAGCGAAGCTCCTGTGCCGCCATGGCACCAGCGTAGATCTCTGCCTCTGCACTGGAAGTAGCCACAGACGACGACCGTGTAGACCTCCACGACACAGCACCAGCTCCCAGACTGAAGCAGTAACCCTGAGTCGAACGCTGAGTCTCCACGTCGTCAGCGTAGGAAGAGTCGCAGTGACCAGTCAACGCCACTGGCTGAGTCCCTCCAAGCACAAGCCCCAAGCCTGATGTAGTCGCCAGGTACTTCGCCACCCTCACAGCAGCTGTCCAGTGGACAGGGCGGTGTCTCCCAGTCGCAACAAAGCGAGAAAGGATGCTGAGTGGAAAGGCGAGGTCCGGTCGAGTACAAGTCATCAGGTACATGAGGCAGCCCACCAGCTCTGCGTAGGGTCCACTGGACTCAAAGGGCTCGTCAGGAAAGGGGCCCGTAAGTCTGTGGTCAACAGCAAGAGGAGTGGGCTGTGTGGTGGAGAACTGGAAGTGGAACCGCCGAAGGACCTGCTGCACCATGTGTGACTGCGTCAGTGTGATGGTGCGAGCGGCTCTGTCCCGGGTGATCTGCAGGCCAAGGTAGCGCTGCAGCTCACCCAGGTCAGTGCACTTGTGTCTCTTCTGCAGTTCGGACTTCACCTGAGCCAGGGCTGCCCTGTCTGCTGTAGCAAACACCAAGTCGTCGACGTAGACAAGGATAAAGAAAGGAGTAGAACCCGCTCGAACAAACAGCGACGGGTCGGCGGAGGACGGGCTGAACCCAAGGTCACAAAGCGTGGAGCGAAGAGTGTCGTGCCACTCACGGGGCGACTGGCGGAGACCGTAGACTGGTCGCCTCAGGCTCCACTGGGTCCCAGGTGGGAAGGTGTCAGTGAAGCCAGGAGGACGGCGCAGCCAGATCTCCTCGTGCAGTCGGCCCTGGAGGAACGCAGTGGAGAAGTCGAGGGAGTGCAGCTCGTAGTCTCGCTGCGCTGCTATGTGGAGTAACACCCGAAGAGTAGTCATCTTCGGGGTCGGGGCGAAGGTCTGGAAGAAGTCAACTCCCTCACGCTGACTGAAACCCCTAGCCACGTAGCGCGCCTTGAACACCGGCGGTGCTCCAGGCGGCCGC